GGGACACAACTTATCAATTTTCATAACTCCACCCTAAAAATAAATAACCAAACTTACATCAACTATGATCTGATTCCACCGCCCGCTATCCCAGCAGTCTTGCAACCTGCCCCAATCGAAAAAACTCGTACTTTCTCTCGAAGCTTTAAAAGAATTTCATATAAACAATATACGGAGAATAAATCTTCTCAAGGCAGCAACAATATCCAATAGCTCACTTTCTCTCGGAGCAGTTGCAACTACCATTGTAGTCATAATAATTTTTTGCAAACTTTGGAGAAAGCACCAAAATAATATAACAATATCTTCGAATCTGGATGCTAATCAGATGCCTCAAGCAAATGTAAACCTAAATAAAGTCAACGATTTTTCTAACGATCAGCAAACTTACATAAATTTTAACAACTTGCCGTATTTCTGACAACGATCGAGGACGATCGTTTTTAAGAGGGGAAGTGTTAACATGACAAATGTTAACATTCGCTAAGCTTATTAAATTAGCAATCAGCAATAATAAGTTTAGCACAGCGGAAGTGCAACCCCTATTGCACAATAATTCCCAACAAAATGCAGACGCGCAGTCAGCAGAAGAACGTATTATTGTGAGAGCGGAAGCCAAACCAACATGCGCAGCTGAAGTTCGCAAACTCAGGGAATTTGCGACAACAACAAACAACAGGCCGGTGCAGTTAATTAGGTTAAGCAATTAAGGGCCAATTTCACAGTGCGTAGTTAACTCAGAATCGACAGTTAACTAGCGATTTTCAGTACAAAAATCTGTAGTTAACTCCCGATTCTGAGTTAACTACGCATTGTGAAATTGGCCCTAAGTTAGCCAGTAAGTGAAATGTTTGGCGACTGCAACTAATTATGCAGACCACACGCCCCACAGCAACTACGCAAGCCCCGCGGCCCACTACAACCATGCAGCCGACGGCGCAGACCTAGCGGAAATAGAGGTGCAGCTCGAAAGGCGCCCACGTATACTACGTATAGGTAAGGTGGCAGCCTCGTGTAACCGGAGCTCACTTAGACAATGTAAGATTGTCCTACCTATACTACGTATACTATAAGCAGAAATAAAACGGTTAGAGTGCGGTAGAACTAACTACCGTTTTCCAATCTACTTCAGCGACATCGGAAAAAATGATTCCGAGTTTCAGCAACGATGATAAATTAAGTATTAAAAAATGGGTCACTAAGATGGTGTACGACAACGATGAAGAAATGAAATTAATCATGGCAAGATGCCTACTAACAGGAAAATATTCATGCGCATAGCCAGTGCCAGCTCATGGCAAGAGCCAAAGAACAAGCTGAACGCGGAATTCAAGAAGCCATTGAGTGTCACGGACGTATTCCGTCAGCTGGAGAATCGGGTGTGGCAGCAAAAATCCGAAAGGTGTACTATTATTTCCGCCTGCCTCCATATAGTCGAAACACTGTGCGTTATGGGCATTTCTCAAAATACTGAAAAGAGTCGCGACGCACACCGAGTTCCTGCTTTAAATGCGGAAAAATGGAGCAAAACTGTCCTATTAATGGAGAAACTGTCCTATTAAGACGGTGACAGAGCTGGAGGAAGACAACGTTGACCGAGAGACAGTATACTTTCGAGAAATGGTAAGTGTTGATTTCAGTCAAAATCGTAGGAAATCTCTAAAATGTCTGAAATTTTTTTCTTGGCTCGATACCGGCAGTCCTTATAGTTTCATCCAAATGTATTGTCCAATGTTGCTGATCTCAAGTGAATTCGCCACAATGGAGAAGCGTCTAAAATTAGACCATAAGAACGAGTATCCGTTTTAATTAAATTTCGTAACATTATAAAAGCACTACAGCTTTATATATATGTATTCTAGATGACAATGAATTACCGTTTTCATTATTGCTAGGAAGAGGCTTTCTTAGCGTTTTTGAAATTTTTTCTATGTAACAGCAAAACACCTTTAATTGGAAATATTGAAGTGAAGTTAATACCATGTCCCCACCAAAAAGTTAACCATCTCAAATCGAACTTAACCACATCACTAACTATTGCTGTACACACTTCGGTTTGAGGTTTATAAAACAGTACAAATGTAGAGAACAGTGTTCGGAACTACAAAACTCGATTCAGGACTAAATCGCTGGAAAAATCGGAGCAAAAACAAATTTTCTGTACTAGATTGATTTTTTTTTTGATTTTCGTTTCTGACATTAATTGTTTGACTTGAATATTTTGTATTCATGCAACGCGAGCCCATGTAAGGATAATATGTTACATATTTAGGTAATTTTTAGCATTTTCTATAATGTAGAAAATATCTAACACTTAATTTTTTAAAGAGCAATAGGATCTAAACCTTTTCTACTTTAAATAAATTCCATTCTAGGTACATATATTTTTTAACAACTTAAATAAAGTTCCGCATCCGCCAATTTCTACAGCCATACATAAAAAAATAATAAAGTTACTTTATTGACGCATTGCTATGAAAGAGTTACTTTTTAACAGTGAGATTTAGCTAACTTTCAATTTTTTTAATGAAACCGGTGGTGAACACTCAAAAAACGGCCCCAATGAAAAAAAAAACCGAACAGATTTAAAGTCAACCGGAGTAGATTTCAATTTTTTTTTTCAAAAACCGGAGTAAATCTAATCTGATCTTAGTTAAATCCAAACACTAGGAGGGAACGAATTTTTTTACATCTTAACGCTAATCACCCACTGATGCCGGAAAAACACATGGTTGTATCAGACTTTCGATGTGGTTTCAGTGAAATAGTTAAGTGCTGTCACTTTGATATGGCGAAACTACGCTAAATCAAGTGAGTTATCGGGATAACCAACTCAATAGCCATAACTACGTGGTTAGCTCCGGTGGGGACATGGTATAAAGAACAAATTTAGCTTCGCCTTAAAATTTTTTTCTATGAGAACCCATGGTGAAATAAAAATAAGGTGATGTCAGTTGAAGGGTATTTGTTGCAATTTTGACAAATTCCGTAGCCCAGTTTTGAATGATGCCCTCTTGAACAAAATCTACACTAGAAAAACTCCTTTTCTGTACTTTGCTGAAAAAGTATGAGTAACATCACTGTCTTTGACATTTCTGTTTAGTTGTGACTTTTGCATTTAATATTTTTTCAAAAACTGTGTCTTGTGCTTATATTCAACAACTTTTAACTACATGTGCGACAGTAAAAGTGGGTTTTCTTGTTTAATAGGTTTTGGAAGTTGGGTGAGAACCTCAACTTGAGGTTGCGATACAAGTGCGGCTTTTCGCCGCAAATTCCAGGTGTGTATAACTGTATACAAATATGATAAATATTATAATTATATCTTTTAAAGTTATTTCTTTTGTAAAATCAATAGCTGTGCATATGATAAAGCTCAATTTGTTTATCGAATGTATCAATAAGATTTACGAACTACTAGTTTTACAAATAAAATTTCGAAAAACCTTTGATAATTAATAAATAGTCGGTCTTTTAACAAGAAAAAACTTACAGTGTTTATTATGTTTTGCAGGGACGGTAATCATTATGAGTAAAATAATTTAAATCCACATTTAATCATTATGTTAAGATTTTTACTTTTTGTGCTTAAAAATAATATTTATTACTGAGTTTTGTTTTTTCGCTCAACGAAGATATTTGAATTTTATTTTTTCAGTCACAAATAATGATTATTTTGAGATTTTTATTTTTTCGCTCGGAAATAATAATAAGTATTGAGTGTTTTTTACTTAAAAATAATAATTATCTATAAAATTTAAAAGGCTATACAGACCCAACCAACTGAAATTTTTACCTGAAAAATTTGGGACTTATTCCTTTTACTAGGATGTCGCTACCTCTTT